TTTGACAGATTTGACAAGTTGGTCGATCCCGCTCGTAAATGCCCTGCCCGCCGCTGGAAGATGACTGCCCGCCGCTGCCGAAGGAGTGTAGGTTGTTGTTGCTGCCGTGCTGCAGACCGTCGTACGACGGACGACAGCCCTACCGACCGCCGCGCCTGCGGCCTCCGCTGTTTCTGCCGTAGCCGCCGCGGCTCCCCTGCCGGCCGCCACCACGCCCCCCGCGATAGTTCTGGCTTGCGGTGAGGGCAGTGGCCGGCTCCATAACAGTGGCTTCTCGGAGAAGAAGTTTGCTCTCCAGATCCACGTTGATTTCTTCACTTTTTAGCCACGAGGAGAGAGTAGCCAGGTCAACGGGCGTTGGACTGATGCGAACCGGCTGTTTAATGGAGGAGTAAGCTGATGGGAGCCCCCGAACGACGCACATGACGAGATCTTTTTCGGGAATAATTTCGTTCACGGTGTCGAGGGCTGTGATGATGGTGGAGACCTCGTCTAAATACTCCGTCATAGTTTTTGTGCCTTTGGTAATTGTGTGGAGACGATCACGCAATTGAAAAATATGAGAGTGGGAAATTGATGCATAGCGTGTTGCGAGGGCCGTCCACAGGGCTAAAGGAGTTGTGTAAGATCGGACGTGTTTCTGAACCGTGGGAGAGATGACCGCAATCAAACATGATCGGATCTGGCCATCCACGGCTTTCCAGGCGGCATGGGCCGGATTGGTTTTTTCTGATTTGTCCGTGGCGATGATGACTGCCGACGGCGGTTCTGTGCTTCCATCGACGTATTTGAGAAGGTAATTGGCCTCAAGGGCTGTAAGAACGGTTATTTTCCATGTAGGGTAATTTATGTCTGATAATTTTTTGGGAATTAGGGCATGAAGATGCCTGAGAAGGAGTTTAACGCCAGAAGGAAGTGAATCGAGAGGATCCACCTCGGTTGTCATGGCTGCCGCTGCCCAATAGAAGAGAGGGAACGATCGGTGCTCTAAAGAGAGAAAAAAAACCTAGAGAAAAGAAGATCTAGGTTTTCTGGCTCTTGATACCATGAAGGAATATTGATTGTATTGAAGTGTTGAACTAATAAGTGAATAATGGGAGATATATATAGGAGATATAGGAAGGAGTACTAATCCTAATAGGACTAGGATTAAAGAGTACTAATCCTAATAGGACTAGGATTAGTACACAGTAAATACTAATATTATTTAATACTATTTATTTAATACTATCTGTTATTAATACATTACTATTAGTGTTACATTTGTCCGCGAGGTTTACATTATTTTATTTATTTATTTATTTATTTATTATTAAGTTGGATGTTGTTGATATTTTTGTTTTAGCTGATTAAATATTTCTATAGTAATGACTTTGAGTTTTCATATTGCTTAGTTTACAATTTTTTTATTTGTTGCCAAATTATGCGATGACATATTTTTTTTTTTTTTAATTTTAATTCGTTGATTCGTTTCACACCTAATTGACTTTGTCATTTTTTTAAATTCCAAGCTAAGATCCATCATCATTTATATACCCCATAATAGATTTTATTTGTTTATTGTTAATTAATTTATAAGTTATCATTTTATGTGATAGTCACTATTATTTTCTTTATTACTATAACATGTTTGCATTTATATTTTCTTATATGTATATTAAATTGGCCAATGAAAAAAATTCTTCGTCGATTTTGGAGGCCTCCCTAATATTAAAAGACGGAAATTTTTAGTTTAAGTTCATATCACTTGTTTGTTAAAATTGTTAAAATGATCGATGAAGAAATTACTCCAAGACCTCCCATGTTAATAAGAAAGGTTTTTATTTTCAAGTTATTATTTTATGTATTCAATTTTATTATATTTATTTATTACTAACACTTTTATTAAGTGTGTTTACAGATACCCAAGACTTGTTTCCTTGAAGCTATTCTAAAGTAGTTCGAATTATATTTTTCAATTTATTATTTTGTATATATCGATGTTAGGCAAACCTTAGGCCGATATTATTATTTTATTTTTATTGTGTATATTGCATGTTTATTATATTTATACATTATTTTATTTTCTTCCTCAATTTGAAAACAATGAACTCAGTCGGGAACCATGGTTAACTCCTTCCCTTCGAAATAACTTGAACCCCTTACCCAGGATCAAATTGATTTGGTAGACACTCTTTTATGTTAATTAATTAAGCGGTTTCCTAGTTTTCCTAAAAAATTAGGTGGTGACTCCCTTTTTCCCTTAACCCCTCTTACCCGTTTTAAGAATTATTTTAACTTATTCTTTTTTTAATTGAGTCACCATGACGTTGCTTCCATTCAAAGGATGTTAACATGACTCATTGCCTAACTTGAGGAGGCGTATTAGCTAGAAAATCTAGCGTTAGGACATCACTTAGTAGCTTAGTCGTGTTGGGATCAATAGTTTAGTCGTATTAGGATTGCATTACTAATTCAATAGTTATAAATTATTTAGATTACTTTAGTTCAGTTCGTTTAGGAATCTTATTATTTCCCCTGTAACTCTATTTAATACTTGCTACCTTCATTAATAAATACTCTTTTCAGCACACATTCAATCTTTATAAATTCTTTCTAGATCCAGTGATGTATAAACTGGAGGACTTAAAGACTTTGGAACATAAACCTAGGGGGGTGGATGGGTGGGGGTTTGTGTTGGAGTTTAGGAATTAGATTTAGTTTCTACGATTGCAAGAATTGTAATTTGAACTCATAACTTGAAGTGGGATCGGCGATCTAGTTGGTTGTTGGAGTCTAAGAATTAGAATTTATAATTCCTTAGATTACATATGATTGTAATCTTTTGTTGAGGCTCAGAGTTTAATAAATGGAGTTAAATTCTACATAGGTGTAGATCGTGGTTATTTACCCTTTATGAGCCAGGTTTTTCGCGACAAAATATTGTGTCATTACTTTATTTGTTTTACATAACGCAACTGCTCTAATCTACAAAGAAACAAATAGAATATACTTGTTCTTTAGGCAAATCTAGTGTCAGTATTCTAACCGATCTTATTAGAAATAGAGCTCTTATTTCGTGCATTATTTGTTACTTCTATTGATTCTGCCAAGGTGGTGCCGTTGGAGGACATTAACAGGTAGTATCACGATCAGACTGTGTTATGCTACGATATTGTTATTGTATACTTCCGATGGCCGGTCAGAATAGGCAGCAGGGTAAGCCGGAGGGGCTAACAAAAAGTTCGAGCTTTCGGAATTTCTGTTCTAAAATTTTGAAGGATGTTTCATTGTTTGAAACTAAACTTATACACTACGGACAAACTTAATTGTTAATTTCAAGAGAACATCACCTGTCCTTGTATATATACCATAAAACTTTCCGTAGACACAATATTGATTTGACTTGAATTTTTTTTATGTGAATTTGTTTGTTTAGAATGATTTAGTTAATTCTTTCTTAACCTTTAGTCATCATAATTATGTGGCATTTCATATTCATAATACATAATTCCTTTAAAATATGGTGAGAGAGAAGAAACCTAGAACCTCATTTCCTTGGAATGACATGTTTGGTTTTAATCCCTCTAAAATTGGAGTAATTATAATTATATATATCTTTAATTTGACCTTGTGTGAGTGATTACTAAATGGTGGTTTGGTTGTGTTAAAATAATTGATTTTGGTTATTATGTATATCACAATACAAAAATAATTTTTACAAAAAATTTAGAAAACATGAGTGTATAGTACGGATGTAATAATGACATGAAAACTTAACCAACATGCACTACAACAAAGAATACCATTGAGCATTTAATTCTTAATTGCCGCTAAAATATATTTTTAGCGGCAATTGTCACTTCTTACGTATAATCCTAAAGCTTTTAGCGATATTGGTTCTAATGACACTTAACTAATGTCGGTAAAGACATTAACACTCTTTATAAGTGTCAACATTTAATGTCGCTAAAAGTTATTTTTGTTGTAGTGATGAATTGTGGGCTCGAGGTGGGATTCTTACCTCTTAAACAAAGGTCTTGGGTTCAAGCCCCAGACGTGAGTGCCACCCTCGAAAAGGCCATGCAGTGCGCGATCCAGACGATTTAGGGCTTGTTTGCATTAGCCTTTGGCTTATGATTTATAAGCCAAAAGCCATAAGATAGGATTTCCAACTTATGACTTATTTTTGTAATTTTGGCTTTACAAAACTTTATCCAAACACTTCAAAACTACTTAAAAGTTTGTTTTGACTTAAAAACACCTAAAATAAGTCAATTCAAACAGCCACTTAGTCCGAGCTCCAATATGGACTCTATACACCGAGTGAGAAATAAAAAAAATATGGATCCAGCTTATAGTTGGAGCTCCAATACAAACTGTGGACAACGGGTGGCGGGTGGAAACCAAAAAATTGACATGGATTTTGATTTAGTCGGAAGTCCAATAACAAGTTCCGTACACTTAGCGTGGAACCAATATTTTTTATACATGGATCCGCGCTTAGTCAGACCTCCAATACAAACTTTGGACACCGGGTGGGAAACAAAAAAAGTTGACATGGATCTGAATTTAATTGAACCACCAATACGGGTTACAATGCTGTCTATACCAACTCCGAACACCAGGTGGAAAATAAAAAAAAAGTGAAATGGATCCAGATTTAATTGAACCTCCAGTAGGAGTTCCAATACAGATTCTGAACACCGGGTGAAAAACAAAAAAAAAAATGACATGAAAAACTTGTCGCAAGTGTGAAGAAATTTCTTGTAAAAGAAGGAGAATAAATATATTGCAATATTTGTCAATATCTAGATAAATATTTCATGTTTTTTTTAAAAAAAAATAATCCTTTACACCTTTGAAATCTACGTTGTCTACTTGTCTTGATCATAGTATGTCTCTAATGTTGGCTTAAACGAGTTTAAAGTCCTATATATTTCTCATACATCAATATTACTATACAACTCAATACTCCAATTATCTTATTTGTTTGTTAATTTACCATAAAATACAAAACAATGATATTTAAGTACATAGTATGTGTTGCACTAGTTGTTGTGCTCTCAATTTGTGTCAACATTGAAGGTCGTAGTGTCTCTAAATTCTTAACAGAAGAAACTGTAGGGACCAAATGGGCTGTCCTAGTTGCTGGCTCTAATGGATGGTGGAATTACAGGCATCAGGTTATTAGCTACAAGCGATTTAACAACGAACTTAGAAATGTTGTGTTAGAATTGAGTGATGATTTGTTATGACATTTTATTTATTGATTTCAGGCTGATGTATGTCACGCTTATCAGTTACTCAAGAAAGGTGGTCTTAAAGACGAAAACATTATTGTATTCATGTACGATGATATTGCTAACAATACTATGAATCCTAGACCCGGAGTTATCATCAATAATCCACATGGCCAAGATGTTTACAAAGGTGTTCCTAAGGTTTGTATCTTTTTTCTTTCCTCTCTTTTCGACCAATTCAATCCCTCGAAAATACTTAGAATGTGTGTTATGTACGTTGATGAGGGCCGGGTTATTTTCTTGTTGAGACAGGATTATGTAGGTGAAGATGTTAATGCTGAAAACTTTTTCAATGTTATCCTTGCAAACAAAAGTGGTATAACTGGAGGAAGTGGTAAAGTTTTGAACAGTGCTCCAAATGACCATATTTTCATCTACTATGTTGATCATGGTGGCCCTGGAATTGTTTGTAAGTGATTCGATCGTCATCACACACACACACACATATTATATGTTCATATTTTTTTATTTCATGTTTCAAAATGAACAGCAATGCCAACTGGAGTTGTTTACGCGAATGATTTGATTGATGTGTTGAAAAAGAAGCATGGTTCTGGGACATATAGTAAACTGGTAACTATTGCTTCTTTTCAGTCGATATTATGTCCTTTGCTTCCTTGGAAGGAAAATAATTAGCAAAGCTTCGGTCTAATACTCCGTTGGATGCTGTCTTTTGTTATATGTTTAGGTATTTTACTTAGAAGCTTGTGAGTCTGGAAGCATGTTTGACGGTCTTCTTCCTGAAGGTTTAGATATTTATGTAACGACTGCATCAAATCCCAATGAAAGTAGTTGGGGAACATATTGTGGTGTGGGTGATGCACGCGATCCCTGCCTTGTAGCTTGTCCCCCTCCTGAGTTTAAAGGTGTGTGCTTAGGAGACTTGTACAGTGTTGCTTGGATGGAGGACAGGTAACGTAACACACAAATTCTCTAATCCCTGATCGAGGGAAAATCAATTGATTTAAAGTTATCAAAACTATAATATTAATGAAACTTCTTCCTATATCTTGATTTATTGATATGCAGTGATGTTCAAGATCGTCAAACTGAAACTCTAGATGATCAGTACGATAGGGTAAGAGCTTGTGCTATATGTAGTCTCGATTATGTATATGTTTTAACCAATTATAGCCTATTCTAAAGAACGAATGATAATTATGTTTCATTATGATCAGATTGCAAACAGAACAGCAGCCAATCTAACATATGGCTCTCATGTCATGCAATATGGTGATATGGTGTTAAGTGTTGATGCTCTTTTCCAGTATATGGGCGTTGCTTCGATAAATCACTCTCATGTCTCCATGAATTCTTATAAATCATCGTCACAGAATGTGGAACAACGAGAAACAGAGCTTTTCTACTGGCAATCCAAAGTATGTCCCTACCTTTCTTTGCAACACATCAAGTCATATGCAATATAATTTAACGTTTTTTCCTTGCCAAGAAAGACGCAAAAAAGATAATCTGATTGATAATACTTGCTAAATATTGGCAGTACGACAATGCTCCTGAAGGTTCTGATGACTATTTTGAAGCTCGCGCCAAACTTATTAATGTTGTAGCACATAGAAGTCAAGTGGACAATAACGTAAAACATATTGGAGATCTTCTGTTTGGAGTTAAATATGGTAATGAGGCACTACAAACTGTTCGATCTTCTGGACAACCACTAGTTGATAACTGGGATTGTCTTAAATCCTATGTAAGTATTTAGCCTAATTATAAAACATTTCTTCTTATTGTTCTTTTTCACGTATACGGAACCATGATCGTTTGTTCTATTATTTTCATGTATATCTATATATATAGGTCGAGATATTTGAGGCACATTGTGGAAAATTAAGCTCATATGGAAAGAAACATATCCGTGGTATCGCGAATATTTGTAATGCTGGAATTGAGAGGGAGCAAATGACTGCTGCAACTGTACAAGCATGTGGTCCTTTGTAGAGCTGAGAGCAATTTATGTTTAGCTTGTGTAATTTGTGTCATCAGTCATGGCTGGCTGCAAAGTTTCACCTTATGTAGCTAGCAAATTAATAATGTTACTCGTTATTCCTATTGGAATTATGTTGAGTCAAATGGAGTTAATTTGAGACTATGAATGTTCAATATTTTTTTATTTTCATATATTTGATGCTCACTTTTTATTTCTTTGATGACTCAAACTTACAACCTTAAATATTATTTGTACAATTCCCTCTCGTCTAAAAGACACTAACTAATTGACTGGATTTTGATAATTTGAGTAAAAAATCTGAAAAAACATTAAAACCACCCACTTCAACATAAAAAATTAGTATTGACAGATTGATTTTACAAGGGTGAATTCATGACTAAAATACATGAAGGATAGATGAATCAAAGATAAGTTTTAGTGGGACATTTGTTGCAAAGGATGAGATGATTTTATCGCAAGATTAACAATTAGTGTTGAGATAAGTTATCCTTCCTCAAGGATGAATTAGTCATTTTAGAATTAGTAATTAGTAAACTAACTAATTTGTTAGTACATATTTTTGTCCCATTTTCATCACTAGTAATGATAAACTAACGTACTTAATTTGCTGTACATATCGAGAGCAAGTGAAATTTTCATGTAAGATGTCATATAATACATGTTTGTTTATTTGTTTAATTTTATACAAGTTGAAGTTTTGTTTGTGCACATCAAAAGTTACGTTGGAGGGTATAAATGTGAACTGAAGCCATGTTGATTAAGGGATGTAATATATCACTCTTAAACTAAATACACATATAAGATTTGGACGAAATCTAAGTCGTTAAGGTGTAGAAAAATCTGATAACAATCAGGTGATTTAATTGTGATTTAGATTACATGAGGGGATAGATAACTTGTTAAGAAATTCGTACGACTTTCAGAAATTAAATTCGGGCGAGTAAAACTCCCAAAAGTGTTTTTAGCATGAATGGGATTCTTTTGAGTGTCGTTGGTTAGAGGTGTGAGGTAAAATTGGGGTGGTGGAATTAATTTAATAACTCATATTTCACACAAATCGCTCTGGCGCTGGATTTGGTCGCTTTGGCAGGACCGCTGTAGTTGGGCAGAGGTTGTTGTGGCGGTTCGCGCGACTTAAAGTCACAAATAAATTCCCAAATGACCTTTTTCTGCACTTTTTTATTTTTAGAGCTAAGGAACAAATCACAAACAACTCTTGACAATTTTCCACTATTTTTGAGGGTAAAGGTAAGCATTTCGCTCCCTTAATCAACTTTTCGATTCGTAAAACCTAATAGAATGTGTAATTATCAATGGGCGAGGGTTTTGAATTGAAAACCATGGTGGGAAAAGCCCTAGCTTGGATGCTTTGGATCATGGATATGATCTAGAGTTGTTAGAATTGTTAGTAATGTGAGTAATTAGTGTTGTTTATTGACTCTCGTATTATGTTGATTATTTGTAGACAAAGAACAAGCGGGACGAATTCAGAAAGGGAATGATCAATTTTCTTAGGGTTTCAAGCTTATTTCGAGGTAGATGATGGTTATGATTTTATGATTGTGTGATGTATGTTTGTTCTTACTTCATTATGATACATATATGCATGCGAATTTTACATTATTGATCACACTTGTTATAAATAAGATATACGAATGACCATATGTCATGAATCACTTCTTGATTGTATGATTTAAGAATATATTTGTCATTGTTATTGTGGTGTGTTTAATGGATCAGTTGCCACGTTCTGCCATAGCTTACTAGGATCGGTTGTCATGTTTTGTCATAAATATGAGATCGGTTGCCATGTTCTGGTATAATTATTGAATTGGCTACCACGTTTCGGTATGCTAACAAATTGGGTTTAGGTTCCATGAGAAAACTAACTACTTGATATAAGTATGATATTTGAGAATATGAAATGCCCCGTTGTTCATAAATGATAATGATGATAATGTATATGTTCGATATATGCATGCTACTAATACGTTGTATTGACTTGCTGATGTTACACTTAATGGGATAGTCGCGTGATCCTACTAGTACACAATGGTTGTGTACTGATACCACGCTTGCTCTTATAATTTCTTGAGTATAGGGAATCTTCAGGTTACTATTAACAAACCTCGTTTAGGAGATCAGTGATCTCGTTGAATTCAAAAGTGAGTTAATTCTTTTGGGCTGCCATGAGTTCTCTTTAGTTTATGTCCGTATTATGGACTTAGAATTTTCTTGTAGTTAATTAGTCATTAGTTTGGGGTGTATCCCTTCTTGTTTAGATTTGTTGAACTTAGATGTTTTGGTACGTTGAATTTCAGGTCCTAGGTTATTTCTTTCGCATTTGTTTGAGTTGATATACTTTTGTATGGGAACTTCAATTTTTAGTTATTTTAAGTTGTTTCCGTAATTAAATGACTTAGCTTTTGGTTTAGTTGCTTGGTTTGGGTTGTAGTAGTATTTCTCCACCATAGAGTTAGTATGGGTGTCAATCATGACGGTCTGGGTCGCGATAAAAATAGTATTAGAGCCTAGGTTTATTTAACTCGATGTACCAAAATGAGTCTAGTAAAGTTTTGTGGAATGGTAGGGGACACCTTTACTTTTCTTCGAGAGGCTATAAGACTTCAGGAAATCGCTTTGTTTTCTCTTGCCTTCTTTGTGTTATAACTTGATTCCTATTGGTATATGTTAATTCAAATTGATATCTAGCCTTCTTCCCTCTTCTATCCGCAAATGGTTAACACTAAATTCAATGGCATTAGACCCGTAGCTCCCGCCAATGCTCTAGCTGACGAATCTACAATGAGAGGTCGCGGTGGAGGTAGAGGCAGAAGAAGAGCTAGGGGTATAGTCCGTGGAAGAGTAGCGTCTGCTGGGGATGAAACTCATGTTAAGAATGCTCGTACAATGAGAAACCTCTTATACCTCATGAAGATATAAATGAGAATGTTGAGGTTGAAAAGGTTGGACAAGAGGGAGAGCTACAGGCTGAGACTACCGGTGTTTCTCCCATCGACCCATTGTTATGTCAACAAATCATGTTATTCTTGAAGGGGTGATTGGTGCTATATTGCTTTCTTCTTTTCAATCAACTCAAGCTCCGGCAAATCCTCCTATTTCTATCACTACTCCCAAGGCAGTTGGAAACGTAGGTAACGAGGTTCTTTGTTGGTTTTTGTTGAATATTGGTTGTATTTAAGTGTTAAGGGAATACATGGGAGTTATATATAGGAGATATAGGAAGGAGTACTAATCCTAATAGGACTAGGATTAAGGAGTATTAATCCTAATAGGACTAGGATTAGTACACAGTAAATACTAATATTATTTTATACTGTTTATTTAATACTATCTGTTATTATCCCCCCTCAAGCTGAGTTGAGCGGAAGCGAACAGAAGCTTGGAACTGAGGTAATCGTGCTGTCGGCTCGGGAGAGGCTTGGTGAGAATATCAGCCATTTGTTCTTCAGTGGGTCCATACTGCACAGTCATGGTGCCGACCTGAACTTCATCGCGAACAAAGAGACAATCGGTATCAACATGCTTCATTCTGGTGTGTAGGACGGAATTCTTGGCCACACAGATGTTTGATTTGTTGTCATAATAGAGAGCAGGAACAGTGTGAGTGGCGCGGAGTTCGCGAAGAATATGTGTGACCCACATGGTCTCAGCAGCAAGAAGAGCAAGGGCGCGGTATTCAGCTTCAGTCGAGGATCGAGAGACCTTGGGTTGTTTTTTTGTACACTAGGAGATCAGGTTCGGCCCCAAAAAAATGAGAAACCCCGATGTAGATTTTGTCATTTTTATCATTCGCCCAATCTGAATCTGAGAAACCCCGAAGCTCCAAGTCCCCGGGTCGAATAAGTAAACCACGACCAATAGTGCCAAAAATGTACCTGAGAATGCGTTTTAGACAATGGTAATCATGTTCACTTGGTTGATGCATGCGCTGAGCAACTCGGTTGACAGCAAACTGGATGTCAGGACGGGTAATGGCCAGATACTGTAGAGCCCCAATGAGGCTGCAGAAGTGGGTGATATCGGCAAAGGGGGTGTCGGCTCCATTCGTAGACGAAGAGACTGCCATCGGTGTTGGTTGACTGGTGCATTTTTCCAGTCCAGCTTTCTGCAACAGATCTCGAGCATATTTTGACTGATGAAGAAACAAGCCGATGCCTGTCCGAGAAACCTCCATTCCCAGAAAATAATGTAACGGGCCAAGGTCCTTCATTTTGAAGGTATTATGCATAGCTCGAGTGACATCCTGAATGAGAGCTGCAGTAGAGCCTGTAATAATAATATCATCTACATAGACAAGATTAATGACTGTACCGTGTGTTGAATGTCGAGTAAACAGACTCGTGTCGTGTACGCAACACGTGAAGCCGAGTCCCTGGAGGAACGTTTTCAGACGCGTGTACCAAGCACGGGGGGCTTGCTTGAGCCCATACAGAGACTTCTGGAGTTTGCAAACATGTTGAGGGAAGCGGGGATCAACATAGCCCGGTGGTTGCGTCATGTAGATAGTTTCATCAAGCATGCCATGAAGAAAAGCATTGGAAACATCCAACTGATTGATGAGCCAATTGTTGCGCACAGCGAGTGACAGTACCAGGCGAATGGTTTCCTGTCGAATAACAAGACAGAATGTCTCGGAGTAATCAAGCCCATACTCCTGATTGTAGCCTTTAGCAACCAAACGAGCCTTGTACCTGGAAATACTGTCATCTGCATTGTGTTTAATTTTCTACACCCATTTACAGCCCACTGGGTGCCGCCCATAGGGCTTAGGTACAAGAACCCAAGTTTTCTGATCAGTCAAAGCCTTAAACTCTTCATCCATAGCATGACGCCAATAATCATTTTTTGAGGCAACAGAGTAGGTTGTTGGTTCACTATCCGGAAGGGGTGTATTTGATAGTATGGTAGCCTGAAAGGTTTTGGGTTTAAAGATACCGGCTTTGCCACGGGTTAACATGGGATGAGTATTGGGGGGTGGCACAGATTGTATTTAAGTGTTAAGGGAATACATGGGAGATATATATAGGAGATATAGGAAGGACTAGGATTAGTACACAGTAAATACTAATATTATTTTATACTATTTATTTAATACTACCTATTATTAGTTATGACTGGTAATGAACATGAGATTTTGACCAAGTTTTTGAAGTTAAAACCACCTATGTTCCATGGTTCTGAGAGAGAAGACGCATATGTGTTCATCCTAGATTGCTATGAGAGGCTGCATAAGTTGGAATTTTCCATCAGCATGTGGTTCAGCTCGTGACTTTTCAGCTTCAAAGTTAGGCTAAACAGTGGTGGATAAGTTATATGGAATGCGGATGTTCAACTTTACCTCTATTTACTTGGACTCAGTTTCATGTTTTGTTTTTGGAGAAATATGTGCCGCAGATTTTGAGGGATCGTAAGAAAGATGAATTTATGGATTTTGGAACAAGGTGGTATTGACAATGGCTGCTTATGAGTCCAAGTTTCATGTTTTGTCTAGATATGCTACTCAATTGGTGACTATTGAGGAGGAGAAGATTCGGTTATTTATTAGGCGACTTAATTTTGAGTTGCGAGTATTATCTTTTCATATGACTTCTGCAAGGAGGAGCTTTATTGAGGTAACTGGCTATGTTAAGAAAGAGGAGAGGGTGAGGCAAGAAGGTCAGGATAAGACATTGGAAAAATAGGTCAAGAATTCAGGTAACTTACAAGGTTCTTATTCCATAGGTTCATGGAGGCCAACGCAGCCAGCCAAGCCAATTCAGTCTGCCATGCCTGCTTTCACCGGTAATTACTTGGGAAGTCCACGTAATAATTATACAGGATAGCCAGGGAGTCGCACCTTCAATGGGCGCCATACCATCTTTTGATCGTACTTGATACAATTTTGGAGAGCTTGGACATATGAGGAGAAATTGTCCATACCCACGTGTGTTTTGAGTCTGCGTAGTAGCAATCCAGAGCAGTAGTACCTGCAGGAAATGGTAATAATGGTCGAGGGTGTTGACACCCAATTTTGACCGTCCCCGGTAATAGTTAATTCATGATCTTCGTAATTTCCAAAAATTTGGAATAATTAGTTTTATAAAATTCAAATACTTTCCAAAATCAATTTAAGTAATCTTAGTCGATTTTTATAATTTATAATTAGTAAATATATTTTCATATAATTTATAGATATAATTGGTATATTTTGTAAATATTTGTAAATCATCTCAAAAAGATTTTAATTTTAGTAAGTATTTTATTAAATTAGTTTAGTTTAAATTATAGTTATATTTTTGAATCACTAGTTTACAATTAAATTAATTATTTTATTTTTTTAACATTAAGAAGCTCATTAATTAATTATATTAATTCATCCTATCTATGTTTTAGCCGAATTCATTAGTAAAGTTTAATTTGGCTAAATCGGTAATTCATTTGGCTATATGAAAGGACCAAAATTTTGTGCCCTTATAAAACATTTTTCAACAGCCCATTCTTTTCCAAATTCCCTTACATTTTCCTATGCCCAATTCTTTCCTCCAAATCCCTGCAGGCTGCAGCCCATTCCAATACAATTCCCAGGCCACTATTTTCCAACTGCACACCTTATCCCTCGAGAGAATTTTGAATTCAAATTCATCCCAAAATCCATTCCCTAGAAATCTCCTATAAATACTTATCTTTTCCATTCATTGGTGGGAGGGAGGGGGTTAGAGAAAAATTTTGGGGAAGAAAATAGAGGTCGAAAGAAAAGGTTTGACCAACAAGAATATACATAGAGAGCATACAAATATATACGAATATGGAGTGGTGATGCAGAAGGACACACTAGATATAGAAGCCAAAATTAATTTGAACAAGGGAAGATCGAGTACTCAACCATATATTCTTAAGTCTAGATTTTAGTCTCTTCCATTCTTCACTGGAATCGGTTCAAGGGTGGTGGTGGAATCCTGTTCAAGCTTCGTTCGTCCCGGGATGCTGCTCCAAAGAAGGTAACCTCTTCCCCCTTAAATTTGTTTTTTCCATTTCGGCTAAATTTATATGTATGCAATGTGGATTTAATTCATTTTGTGGTTTGATTTGATGATTCCAATCTATAATATGCTCTTCTTGATAAAAGATATGGTTGTGTATTGATTTGAAGTGGTAAAATAGTAGGCAGAATCTCGAAATGCAACTGGGTATGGAATATGACCACTTGTTTTCTCCATTTCAAATCTCATGGTTATTTGTTGATCATCGAAATATTCCTGTCTCTTTATTAGTTTTCTTGTTTTGATTGTGTGTTCTAAAGGCGTCAAAGAAATTATTATGTCGTTTATCTTCTTTGCATTTTCGGGTATAAATTAGCAAGTTCTGCTCACATCAATAGAGCTTCGTTTGTTATTGTCATCTTGTAGTGCAAGTATTTCTCTCTTCCATATAGAACCCTCTGCTATGTTTTTCCTACAGCTGCTGCCTCTTTGATTTGTCTCTTGCTAGCATGTTCATCTATATTTTATTTCAGGCATAATACATATATTAGATCCTACACTTGACTTCAAACTCCAACTTTCATAATGCACAAACAAACACTTTAACTATCCAACTTTGAAATAAATAAACACATGAGTCCTACATGACAAAATACACGTAGAACACCACGTAAGACAAAAAATGACATGTAGGACATGAGTGTCTATTTGTTCAATTTTATATAAGTTTAAGTGTCTACTTGTGCCCACCCAAAGTTGAAGGGTATAAATGTGATTTGAAGTCAAGTTAAAAGACATATTTATGTATTATGCCTTTATTTTATGTTGTTTTTTTTTTTTAAAAAAAATACTTTTCCTTTAGAAGTGGATGTGTTGTTTAACTATGGTTCAAGCGTTGAGTCAACTTAGTGCAACATGCCTAAAACGAGTTATTATTGCTTCTTTGGTTATGGGCTCTGCAAAGGACATCTAATCGTGTTTCTTTTCTCGTTCCCCTCGTTTTATTATTGCGTGGTACGCTAAGATATTTCCTTTTAGTATTAGTTGAGTTTGGGTTAGTTCATGAATTAGTTTTGATGTACCAATTGGGCATATCTTGAATTTCGACTATTGGGTAGCCGTATTTTGAGCTTGAAGTAGCACATATATTTGTGTTCTCTTATTTCTTCATTTTGTTTATTGTGGTGCCACAATTCTAATTTTTTTTTTATTCTTATTTATGTGAAATTTGTCCGAGTTCGCCATGAACTCCTCGCCTTGCATTTTCTTGTTGAGCCACGAAGGCTTAAACCATTATTCTCGAGTCATCCAGACCTCCTCAAACCTGATGAACAGGTCGAAAGCAGCAAATAGGTTGCTGGAAATTTACATTGCAGGTCTCCAAAGGCTTAGAAAAAGACTAATATACTGTTGTATACACTGATATACAGTGTTAATATACGATTTAAGGTTCGAAAAAATTACACAGGTGCTTTAAATTTTATCTGGGGCAGCATACATTCCGTATATATCCCAATATACACGAAAACGAATTGTATACAAGCTGTATACATCGGTATACATCAAAACGTATACTAGTTTTTCAAGAGAGAAAATGGGCCAATTTTGCGTATCGTTGGGAAATTGGGCCTAGAGGTCCAATTTTGCTGAATTTGGGCAAAGAGCCCAAGTTCAAATTTTCTCCTTTCTCTTCTTTATAATAGTATTAACTTACATTTCATTTGTTAAATTTTGGTTTGACTCAATTAATTTCCCCAATGTTAGTCCTTTCTCTTTTTATATTTAAATAAAAATTATTTATTTTTATATTCTATATTTAGATTATTTTCACTATTAGACCCTTTTAGAAGATTCCTTCTAAATTCATTTCCCTTTAAATTAGTCAATTAAAATAGAATTGTAATATTAGTAAATAAATATAAAAAAGAATTTGATTTTACTTTATTTAGACAATATCTAAAAAATAGATTATTTTTAAAAGTCATTTTTAGTCAAATCGCCGGTCAACCGCAAGTTAGCGAACACTCTGAGGGCCTAATACCTTCTCGGAATGTACATTTGAACTTCGAACCCTTTTTCAACTGATTTTTATTAGTTTTAAATCTTTTGAAAAAATAATTTTAAGTTTTCTTGGTTTTACTAAAAAATCAAGTGGCGACTCTATAATTTTGAAAGTCAATTTCTCTTAAATCATAAGATAAGTCAATTTTTCGAAACTTAGTCCTTTTTTACTTAAATATTTTCGTAATACAGAGGGCATCAACAAGGTGGGCGGGGAGGTAATCAATGAGGCTGTGGAGGTAGAATAAATGGTAATGCAGGCATGGAAGTGGTTCATCAAGATGATACGGCTTAATGTTATGCTTTTGCGGCAAGAATGAGGTAGATGTGTCTGATGCAGTGATCTCATGTACTGTTCTTACTTATGACCGGATGACTAATGTGTTATTTGACTAGGATTTTACGTATTCATATATATATCCATGCAATTTGCCTCATAATTTGTTATGATTTATGATGTACTTGATGCCCCTATCCATGTTTCTACCCAGTTGGAGAGTAAGTCATAGTCACCATGTTTATCGTGCTTGTCTTATTTTGTTTACGGTTTTCAAACTTGGGCTGATTTGGTGATTCTGGATTAGAATGACTTTGATATTATCTTAGGAATGCCTTGGTTGTCCCCCTATTATGTTGTGTTAAATTGTAATACTAAGTTTGTTACTCTCGAAATTTAGGCAAGGGAAAAGTTAGAGTGGGAAGGGGTGTAAAAGCCTAAGCAAACTAAGTTCATATCCTTCATTCGGGCTAGGAAACTAGTAAGGTAGCGTTGTTCAGCTTATTTGGCTCATATTTGGGATATGAGGTTGAGACTCTATTTATTGAGTCTATTCTTGTGGTGTCAGAATTTAGAGAAGTATTCCCTACCTATTAGCTTAGTATGCCTCCAGATAAAAATATAGGTTTCTACATTGATTTGGAGTCTAGTACTCGTCCCATTTCTATCCCTCCATATCGCATGACTCTAGCAGAATTAAGAGAGCTTAAACTCAAATCCAAGAGCTTCTTGATAAGGTATTTATTTGACCTGGTGCTTCCTATAGGTGCCTCATTTTTGTTTGTTAATAAAAAGGATGGTAGTATGAGGATGCGTATAGATTACCAACAATTGATTAGGGCCATCATTCGAAATAAGTATACCTTGTCTCATATATATAGTCCTTTCTGAACAATTGCAAGGGTCATTTGTTTTCTCCAAGATTGATCTAAGGTCTGGCTACCATCAATTAAAAATTAGGCCTGAGGTTGTTCCCAAGACAACACTTAGAACCCTCTATGGGCACTAAAAGTTTCTAGTTATCTCCTTTGGCTTGACCAATGTGCCTGCAACTTTTATGAGTTTAATGAATTGGGTGTTGAATCCATTTCTTGAGTTCTTTCGTCATAGTCATTACTGATGATATTTTGGTCTATTCTAAAAGTGAGGAAGAACATGTCGACCATCTTCGTATTGTTTTGGGTAATCTTGGGAAACAAAGGTTGTATGCTAAATTTTCTAAGTGTTAATTTTTGTTGACATCTGTTGCATTTTTGGGTCATGAAGTTTCAAAAGAAAAGGTGATCGTAGATCCTCAAAAGATTGAGGTAGTTAAGAATTGAGTTCATCCTAGCTTTGTAACGAAAGTTAGGAGTTTTGTGGGGCTCACTAGCTACTATCATCGATTTGTGAAGAACTCTATTCCATTTGTACTCATTTGATAAAAAAGAGATACCATTGTAATGGACTGAAAAATGTGAGAAGAGTCTTCAAAATCTCGAGACTCTCTTTGACCACCGCACATATTCTAGCATTACTAGTGGGAAGGTAAAGATTTTATTGTTTATTTTTATCCTTCATATTCTGGTTTGGGTGTTGTGTTAATGTATGCTAAGAATGTTATAGCTTATGTCTCTAGTCAATTAAAGGTGCATGAGAGGAATTATCTAACACATGATTTGGAGTTGGCAGCGGTAGTGTTTTCTCTTAATATCTAGCAACATTACCTCTATGGTTTCAAGTGTGAATTGTTTAATGATCATCGTAATTTGCATCATGTGTTCACTCAATGGAAGTAAACTTAAGACAACGAAGGTGGATGGAGTTACTTAAAGATTATGATGTCACCATTCAATATCATCAGGGTAAGGCTTATGTTGTGGCTAATGTTTTGAGTCGAAAAGCAGTTAGTATGGGTAGTTTAGCTTACTTGAGTGTATCCAAGCGACCTTCAGCTAAAGAAACTCAGACCTTGGAGTCTAAATTCATTCAATTGGGCATCTTATAAAAAATGTGGGTATTAGATTGCATTAAATTAAGGGTCATATTCATCGATGAAATCAAGGACAAAAAAATTAAAGATGAAAATTTAGAGGAGCTTAGAAAGAAGAATGCGCTTGGTAAGGTGCAAGATACCACTCTTGATGCAGAAGGTGTATTTAGTTTCAAGGGAAGAATTTGTTTTCTTTGAGTTGATGATTTGATTCAAAAGTTGTTAATAGAGTCCCATGATTCGTGATATTATATTCATCCAGGTGTGACAAAGATGTATCAAGATTTGAAGCAAATTTATTTGTGATCGAGCATGAAGAAGGATATAGAGGAGTTTGTGGCTAAGTGTCAAAACTATCAACAAGTGAAATATGAACACCAAAGACCTGCAGATTTACTTCAAAGAATGCCAATTTCGGAATGTAAGTCGGAAAAAATAGACATGGATTTTGTGGTTGGCCTTCCCTAAACTTACGGAAAGCTTAATTGTATTTGGATAATAGTTATTAGATTGACTAGGTCAGCCCATTTTATTTCGGTAAGAATAAATTATAATGTTGAACAATTGGCTTAAGTTTATGTGAAAGAGGTGAGGTTGCATGGGGTGGCCTCTCTATCATCTTAGATCGTGGTACCCAATTTACATCTATGTTTTGGAGGTAATTGCATGACGAATTAGCTATACAACTCACCTTTAGTACAACCTTCCATACACCAATAGACGGACAATCATAGAGGACTATTCAAGTGTTAAAAATGTTTAGGGCATGTGATTGATTTTGGAGGGTATTGGAATAAGTTCCTACCTTGTGTAAGTTCTCTTATAATAATAGTTATCACTTCAACATTGATATGGAACCATTTGTGGGACTCTATGTGAGGGGATATAGGTCAACCATGGAATGGTTTGAGGCTTGAGATGTGGAACCTTTGGGTAGATTTAGTGAATGATGTTTAAGATAAGGTGAAGCATTTAAGCTAAGCTTCTAGCAGCCCAGAGTAGACAAAAAAAGTATGAATAGACATGACGTTTCAAACCGGTGAGGATGTTGTTCTTAAGGATCACTCATGAAATGGGTGATAAAATTTGGCAAGAAAGGCAAGTTAAGTCTGTGATACATTGGTCGCTTTAAAGTTCTTCAATGTGTAAAGCCTATGGCCTATAGGTTGGCCTTACATCCTGACGTATTAGGAGTTCATCTGCTGTTTAACGTATCAATGTTGATACAGAGTATATCATTAAGTGAGACTCAATTGTGTTAGACAAATACCCTAATATGAGCAGGACCCGATTGTAATTCTTGATAATGATGTGCATAGGTTGAGGACCAAGGAGTTAAGTCTGTGAAATTTTATTGGAAGCATCATCCAATTGAGAAAACTACGTGGGAAACTGAGAGGGATATGCGAGATAAGTATCCTCAATTCAGGTACTACTCCATTTTTTCCTGAGCTTCTTTTTCCTAAGTTTATAACTTGGGGACAAGTGATGGGTAAATTGGTATCTATTTCAACAATCGAGTTCCGTCTTATTAGAAAATCTAAGGGAGAAAATTTTTGGGTCTGAAATCTTTTCATAGTATCTTGAAATTTTCCAACCTAGTCCAAATTTGGACGTAATTGGAATCGTTAAGGGCTAAGGAAATCTGATTACAATCCGGTGATTTAATTATGATTTTGATTACATGAGGATATAAATAACTCGTTAAGGAATCCGTACAACTTTATGGGATTGGAGCGTATTTTTTCGTGCAACCCGCTTTGGCATTGGATTTTGGTCTCTCTGGAGGGGATGTTGTAGCGGGTGAGGGCCTCTTTGGCTGGCCATACATGACTTAAAGTCGTAAATAATGTCCTAAACAACCTTATTCTGCACTTTTTGATTTCTGGAGCTGAGGATCGAACTCTAAGAGAATCTTGACAATTTTGCACCATTCTTGAGGCTAAAGGTTAGTTTTTCACTACTTGAATCCATTTTTCGATCCATAGAACACAATAGAATGGGTAATTATCAATGGGGGGGGGGGGGGTTTGAATTGGAAAACATGGTGGAAGAACCCTAGTTTGGATACTTGGGATCATGGATATGATGTAGGGTTGCTAGAATTGTTAGTAATACGAGTAATTAGTGATTATTTATTAATTCCCGTATTATATTGATTATTTGTAGACCAAGAACAAGTGGAACGAATTTGAAAATGAAAGGATCAAGTTTCTTAAGTTTTCAAGCTTTGTTGAGGTTAGGTGATGATTATGATTGTATGATTGTGTGATGTATGTTTGTTTTTGCTTCATTATGATACATGTATGTTAATGTTGCATTATTGATCACACTTGAAATAGACAAATTACTATATGCCATGAATCACTTCTTGATTGTATGATTTGAGAATATACTTATGATTGTGATTGTGGTGTGTTTAAGGGATCGATTCTCATGTTTAGGAATAGCTAACTAGGATCGTTTGCCATGTTTTGGTATAGCTAACTAGAATCGTTTGCCATGATTCGGTATATATATGAGATTTGTTGCCACGTTCTAGCATAATTACTGGATTGGGTACCATGTTCCAAAAGTCTGACTGTTTGGGTTTGGGTTCCATGAGAGGATCAACTACCTGATATATTTGTTATATTTGAGAATTGTGAAATGCTCTGTTGTTCGTAAATGATGATGATATTGTATTGATAGCAAAATGTATTTGCCACGTTTTAGCTTAAGCTAAAGATAACTTTAAATTAAGTGATTTTACTACTATTAAAGAATTGAGAAAATTAGACTTAGATTTTTTTGCAATAACACAAATTCTGAAGAAAAAAAAGTATTTTTTAAACTAAAAAAATTACACATCGGCCAACTCCGTTAATTAAACACGACACTTATTTTCCTTTTAATCCATTGAAAATAAATCGAACTTCTTATGCTACTTCAACTCTTTCTTTATCTTTTAATTATAATGAAGTACATTTTTACAGCCAGTGATGCAACTAAGACTTTTGTAAATGATATTTAAGATTTAATATATGTATGAACTAATATAATTTGACTGATGACAACCAAATTTTTTGATGAAACGACTAACCACCTTCGAGCCATTATGGCATTACATATAATTTATGATGAAACAATTGATGTAACTACCTGATTTCTTTCACTATGGAAAAGTCAATGAAGAAAGAATTGGGGTCAGAAAACTTTTTGGT